GGCTTTCGACAAGATGTGGCACGAAGGCCTAATCCAAAAAATGCTGAGATCCAAAATTCCACATCAACTAGTGTAACTGATTGTCTCATTTCTAACCAACAGAAGTTTTTGTGTGACAATCGACGCGACGGCACCACGGCCAACAAAACCACATCTACCACAAGGCAAATTCAAGTAGGCGTTCCGCAGGGCTCCCCACTCAGCCCGCTGCTTTTTAACACATGTCGGACATCTCCAGGTCAGAGAGACAACCCTTCTGGCCTATGCAGATGACACAGCCATAACGGCAACTGGTCGCAGTAGACCTATCATAAAAGACCGCCTATAGCGTCACCTTGCGGAGCTAGAAGGCTGGATGGACAGATGGCGGCTGTTAGTCAACCCAAGAAAGACGCAAGCTATTATGTTTGGGAAAAACTTAAAACCACCGCCCCGTGAAACTGGAAGACTAAAGTGGAAAAACACAACGCTGAATTGGTCCAGCAAAGCCAAATATCTGGGAATAATCTTCGACAGATGACTCACTTAGAAGCAGCAAATCCAATACAACAAAAACAAAGCCCAAGGACAAATAAACCAACTATACCCGTTCCTGAACAGGCACAGTAAACTAAATCCTCAAGTCAAGATCAACACCTATAAGCTCTACATAAGACCGATACTAACGTACGGAGCACCAGCCTGGGCCACAACAGCCACCTAAAACACACATCACCCGCTCACCACCTTGGAATACCGCATCCTGCGGAACCTACTCGGCGCTCCATGGTTCGTCAGAAACACCACCCTGAGAAGGGACTCCAAACTTCAAAACATACATAGCCATATACAGGACTTCTTCACAAATCACTTCGCAAAAGCAGAAGTAGGAGGAATCACGTAAAAAACCTCAACACAGAAGTTCCGCCAAGTTGGGATCAACACACAAAATCAAACAGGATCTGGATATCCAGAATATTCACGAACACACAACAGGGGAATATAAATACCACACAAGTATTTTCCCACAAACAAAAATATTTGTCACTTAGCCATGTTAAACAAAAAAACGAACAGTTATGTCATCACTGCCGCTTGGATTAGGTTCGACTATAGATCACAAGAAGCTTTGGTGGTGGGATATAGATATAGAAGAATCGTTGGTACAGATTCTACAATACTCAAAACCGAAAAGTTGTCCTTTCTAGGGACTAAGTATAGATTTTTGAGAAAAGATGGTATTTTTATAGGAAAAAGATAATTATGAATCGAAAAATCAAAATCAAAATGAAAGAAACGAACCGGAAGATTGGATCAAACATAATAGAAAAGAATGACGAAAATGAAAATAACGAAACGCATAAAAATGCTCAAAATAAAGAAGCAGGAAGTAGTATAGATATTGAGAGAAATACTGTTTCTTCAAAACATTTTGAGTTAAAAAGAAGTGATAGATCAAGAAAACCACCAAAACGGTATGATGAGTTTCTATGCATAGCAAGTGATGGATCGAGGTTTCCTAGATCGAGTGGTTTCTATGGGAATATACTCTACTTTTCTGTTCTTGAGATCATATCTGTTGGATTGGGTTCTGATGGTGAAAATAGGCAGAAATACTTCAAGCAAGTATATACCTACCTCAGGATTACCACAGGGAAGCACCTTGGGCCCACTGTTGTTTACTTTGTTTATCAATCTCCTCCCTGTCTGCCTTATTGAATCCTCAGGACTGCTTTTTGCTGATGATTTCAAGTTTTTTAGAGTAATATGTTCTCCTAAGGATTGCCTTCTGCTCCAGAGGGATATTGACAACGTTGATTATTGGTTTAGGGAGAATAAAATGTCATTAAACGTGAACAAGTGTTCAGTCATGAGTTTTTCACGGAAAAACAAAATTAGTAGGGTCAATTTAGAGCGAAAGAGCGAAATCAAGGATTTGGGAGTTGTGAGATTCAATTCCCATTTCTTTGGAATTCATTATTAGAAATGGCAAGTCTTTTGAGTTGGGAACGATTGTTAGGCTTTATTATACTGTGGTGAGACCACATCTAGAATATGCTGCCCAAATCTGGATGCCCACAGTCCACACACATGTGGACCATATACAAGATGTTCAGAAGAGGTTCTTAAGATACCTTTATGTCAGGAAAAATAGCATGTATCCTTATATGGTCTCGTATAGAAGCATGCTTGAGGGCTTTGGGTTTGAAAGTTTGCAGAGTAGAAGAGATAAACAGGCTGTGATATTCAACCTAATTAATTATGTAAAATATAAAGACTGTGATTTAATTGAATATGTAAACTTAAACGTACCTAAAATTAAATTGCGAAATCTAAACTATGAGTTATTTAATATAGATATAGTCAGTACATCACCTATAAATACAATGTTATCAATATGCAACACAATACTCATGAGAGTCAACATAGATATATTTAATACAAATATTAAAGAGTTACAGAAAATCTAAGTCAATCTTACTGTTGGTGTTTGTGAATGTATGCTTTGTTAGGTTTAGTCTAGTGTAGTAATTTGTTAGTTGTAGTTATTCTCTACCAACCATTACTTGTAGTTACCATATCGTCGTGTTTGTAATGTGAACAATAAATAAAATAAATAAAATAATGAAGAAGCTATTTCCTGTGTTGATTCAGACAAATGGATTTTGGCAATCAGAGATGAACTCAAGTCCATAGAAAATAATAAAGTTTGGGAGATAGTAGAAGACCCTCCAAACTCTACAGTAATACGATTCAAAGTTGGATTAGAGGCTCAAGGTTTTAAACAGATTCCAGGCATTGATTTTGAAAAAACCTCCTTTTCCAGTTGTAAGATATGAGGCAATAAGAATTTTGCTGGAACACATTGCTAAGCAACTGGAAATCAAAACAGCATTTCTCATTGGTGATTTAGATGTTGACATTTACATGAAAATCCCAGAAGGTGTGGACGTTGAGGCAGAGAGAGTTTGTTATTTGAAGAAAAGTTTATACAGTCTCCCAGATTACGGAATCTTTAATTGGTCAGTGTTTTGAAAGAAATAAACCTCAAACAATCCATAGCTGATCCATGTATGTTCTGTCACAAGATGGAAGATAGTTGCAGTCTATGTGGATGATTTATGCATACTAGACCAGGCAAAACTGAGATGTGGATGATTTTTTATCCAAGAATTTTTACGTCACTTACCAAGGTAAACCGAAATTTTTATTATCGCTGAACATTTTATGGAATCCCTTATCTGTGAAATGAACTACTTGAGAAAAAGTTTTACAAAAATATAACATGATGAACTGTAAGATGGCCTCTGTTCCAATGGATCCTGGTACCAAAGCTCTAAAGACAAGAGAGGAAGATGAAAGAGCGAAGAGTTATATCAGTCAAAGATTGGAAGTCTTCTATTTTTTGCCTGAGAACAAGACCTGAGATAGCCTATGCAGTGAACAAAATTATCACAGTTTCAAACTGAGCTAACAGAACCTCATATGAAAATGCTTCCAAGAAAAGTTTCCATAGGTAAAAGCTTAACCCACAACTTCAAAAAAAAATCCTGAAATTTATGTTTACAGTGATGCATCATATGGGAACTGTGCAGATACAATATGATCCAATAGTGGATATAGTGGGTTTTATGGTAACGCAGCAGTGACAATATGGACTTTGCTGATATTTTGACAAAACCACTACCAAGCGAAGTTTTTCATTCACTTTGTACCAAGATGTCACTTAATAAGATAGATTAATGAAATCCTATCCAACTCAATAACTCTTATCCAATATACAAATATCTTACGATGTTTCAAGTGTACCTACCACCATCGAGAAATATTCATTTATAATTTTTTTAGATAATCATATCCAATGGGTAAAATAAAAATCACAAGAAATAAATGTGAATCATATCATACCATATTATATATTTTTAAATAATGATTATCTTCCTGTGGGTCTACGTCTACATTTTTAGTCACAAGTAAATATATTCACACACGCAATTTATTCGAAACAATTAAATTTGCATATGTCATTACTAAAAAATCTTAGTTTCCTATTCATATAATGGAATAACTCTGGGAAAAAATCCATGAAAAATCAACCTTTAATGGTAAATTTGTGTTACCGAAATTGTTTTATCTTGTCAACGATTTTTTACCGACCGATAAATTTGAATAAATGAATCTCAAAGTGCGCGGCCAATTTATAATTTTTCAAGTTTCGTGCTTATAATTCATACTTGTCATATTTTATAAATTTCACCTTTAGAAAATAAATTCCTTAATTATGCAAAACAGACAAAGAGAAAAATAAAACACACAAATTTAATTAATGGATTTTTATTTCGTATTCAAAAATTTTTTATGTATTTATTTTATCTACATAATTTTACATTTTGATTTATGTATTTATTTACATTTATATACATTTTAATAATAAAATATTTGGTCCGATATTAATTTATTTTAGGTATAAATCACAAAATATACAGTAGTATAAATATGATCACATTTTACGGGATCACTTAGTACTAAATATCACATTTCGATAGACCAATAATAATAATAATAAAGCAAATATACATTTAAACAACAAAATTATATACTATCTCACTTAGTTTGACCAATAATAAATTACTAATTATTCATTTTATGGGTGTTTGCTTTAGATATCAAATTATTTATTATTAAATCACATTTAAGTTTATATTTTTTGACTAAAAAAAATCTTTTATAAAGAAGAAATTGTTGAGAAACACCCTTGCAAAAAAAAATAAATAAATAAATTACCTAAACAACAAAAAAAATTCACACTGGCAGCTCAATAAACAGAAACAATTTATAAAAAAGTCTTTAATTTGTAAAATAAACTGTTGGGCTCTCGAAGCAACAGTACAACAAATAGAACTCTATTTTTGATTGTCACAATTTACAACAAAAATAGATTTTTATCTGCACTGCTTCCTCTTTTTATATGGCATTTATTGAAATTTGAAAAAAAAAATACCTAATTCCTCATAAACCCGCTATGTATTCGAAAATATCGACTCACATCTGCTGATTTGATTGTAGACTTTCTCAATTCTCTCATTGAGAATTTTCACACTTTTGTCCGGTAACGTTGGTAAAATATCCTTTACTGTGGCACTATTCCTTTTCTCAAACATGTCCCGTAATAGTTTACCAATATTACCTTTAGTTTTTAACTTTTTAATAACGTTCGCAGTCTGTTTTCGGAACACGCACAAATTGTCCAACAAAATCGAATGATAGATTTCGTATTTTTTCAATAAACGATATCCGTGTAATAGTCCTGATTCGTTGTCCAGAAATAGTAACAGTTCACTGTCCGCTTTTTTAGCTAAATTGTGAGCTGGAGCATCCATAATGTTCACATTCCATTGGTAATTGTAGAGATTATTAACGATTCTATCCAAATTTGCCGTTAAATAGTCAAAGATAATTAAATCTGACCATTGAGCTAGTTCAACCAAATTTTTCAAAACATCATTTTTGTCCATCAAAAGACTTTTGGTCATATTCATCACGTCATATTTATTCAAATGACGTTCCAAAGGCTTAAAAACTGCTGGAATATTAGCCGAGTTCAAATTTGAAATGAATTGAGTCAAAACGATTGGTCTATTTGAATTCCATTGGGCAGAAGCAATTTCATTATGTAAATTCGACCATAAGGGTGAATCCAAATCCACAATGCTGACAGCGCTTGGAGCTAAATTTGGCAGCTTCAAAATTTGAGCTAAATAAAAGCTAAATAGTTCTCCCTGGATTTGGTCAGTATTTTGTCTGTATCTGACGCAACCTTGTAAGCCATCCTGGAAAGTTACTAAACGATTTTGCATTCTGCCGCAACCATTTTCCATGCGAATTGCTACAGCTTTGTTAACATAATCACTCCATATTGTGTGTTTTTGGTCTCTGTATCCTTCAGGAAGAGCATTTTCAATTTGTTTGCCCCAATAAATGCCATTTTCAATAAAATCGTTATTTTCTTTTGCACTAGGTTTGGAAGATTCCACAAAAGACACTGTTGGATACACAACTTTTGAAACGTTCATATAACCATAACTGTTGTTTAGAAAAATAGTCCTTATAATTGATGAAGCATTTGGAAGCACTTTATCCTCTGATGATGATGAATTATTTGTTGATACAGTATAACCATTATTAAAGTACATTAGGGGAATTAATATTCCTATAGTTAATCCAACACTAAAGGCGAAAACGGCACTAACTAAGCACAAATTTTTATAAGCCGAAGAACTTTTCTGTTCCCACAAAATTTGAGGGAATTTATCCACTTTACTATTGCCAAAACTCGCGTAAGAAGCCATCATTAAATGTTCATATTATTTACTACTTGAGTCGGAAATTGAAGTGCGCGTTGCGACCACGGGTACCACAAGAACCGACTGGTACTCGAGAGAGTCTTTTATACACTGAATATAACCATCGAACGGCCCAGACATAGACTCGGGTTAACAATACTGAGCCGTGGTGGGATACATAACTGACATATTTCAGAAGAAGAAGATGACTGCTGACTAATCTCTCATAGAAGACAAGGATGGAGCGAAGAAGGTACTGGTACCGGGAGAACGAAGATAGAAGACGGTCGGTCGTCCTGCCTGAAGAATTGACAGCAGCGGGGTTTGTTTAGTACCCGAGGACGCATTTTTTAGTCCGTCGTGTGTTCTATGGGACCATGATGATGATAGTGGATTATTGAAGTTTTTTTTTGGGTGTTTGCGGTTAGAATGGGCGGTAGGCGTGAAATTTGTGTTTTGATTTGCCCAATTATAATGTAATTTCTTTATGATTTTATGTTTTCATGGAGTCTTAGACGAATTAATACCTAAATGAGGCTTTTTTTTTAAAATTCTACGAAGGAGCTTTAGGATAATAATTTTCATGTGATGAAAGTGGTTTTATAATTTTATTTCCTGTAAAGAATTTGAAAAAATTAATAATGTCATTATTCATTGGGGTCAAAAGACAAAATTTAAAAGATAAACTTATAATAAGCTTTTCATTAAAAATTTACCCATTTCTTCTCTTGTAATATTTGCTAATATTAATAATATTTTTCATTCGGAAAGTGAATCGACCCATAGAATAGGAAACCTACATGTTACATGGAGAATATTTCTGTGATAAATTTTAGAAATAAGGAAGATATGCCTAACTTTTTTTGATATTCGATATTTTTGTATATCCGGTTCACACAACAAAAGGAAAATCATTCAAGTCATTTATACTAATGTTTAAAAACTATAATCTCGAAAATATATAGCATTAATTTCCCTAATGACAGTTCAATTTGTTGCAAACAAAGACATGGTTCACTCAAATATAAAATTTAGCTGTTCTGACTGTGGAGTTTATCTAAGAATGATACAAATTTGAAGGTTTTCATAGAAATCTAAACTTGAAATTTTATTCATTCATTTTTCGATTGCACATAATATATTTTGCATCGACACTCGTGGTATTGCCTACCAGTATAGTAAAGATTCAGTTACTATTCTCAGTGTGGTGAGTTGAGTAGACGGGACAAATTGTTGATGAAAAATTGTAATTATTTATTTATTAGGCATTTGAAAATTGTGTATCTAATCTATGTCAAGTAATCTGCAAACAATTCTAATTGGTATACTTAGGTACTAATGAGTGCGTTAAATTTTCTATTTCGATAAATGATAGGTAGGTACTTCATTCAAAGTGGAATATTATTTTTTGAAAACTGAAATCACAGTTAATTTTGGGCTGCCTGATTGTTGAATGGCATGATTTTTTTCAGCTCCTATAGGGTTTTTGCATTGTTGATTTCATTTTGAATTATCTGATTGGGCTTTGGGCTTTTGGCTAAGAAGTTTCAGTTACTAATATCCAAGAACATTTATTAGCTGTAAAAATATATTTATTCAAGCATTACAGACAGTATTACAGAAATTATAATATTTTCCACCTTCGATTTATATTTATAAAAAGAACAGTAGAAACCCAGATAGCACAGAGACATCTTAAAAACGTTCCTACTATGTTCACAAGTGACATTCAAGACGTCTTGTTTATTTTAAAAACGTCGTATGTTATAAAAGCCAACGTCTTTCAGACGTCTGCCTTAACACGTCTTCAGGACTAATATTTCGTTATTATTACTCATTTTATAGCTTTCAATTTTAAACGCTAGGCTCTCAAATTCTTGGTTTCTTTTAAACGAAAACATACACAAAATTATCATGTTGAAAAAAAACATTAGAAGAGCGGGTGGTTTGGAATATTCTAAATGGCTTATTGAAGCTCTAAAGTGTTCTAACATGACTTGAAGAGTTCTAGAGCATTCTAAAAGTTTTTCAGTAATTTCCAAATTGTTCTGACAAATTTTTGAGTATGTTAGAGCCCTATTGAAGCTCCAGAGTTTTCTAAATTGATTCAAAAGAGTTCTTAAAGGTTTCCAGTTCCAAATTGAATCGTTATTGTTCTAAAATAACTCTAAATTGTTCCAAAATGCTCTTGAGAATTCTGATTTGGATTTGAACTGTTTTAGATGCTTATTATAGGTCTAAAGTTCTACACTAATCTAAATTTGCTCTTGAAAATTATGGCGCTTTTCAAAATGTTTCTGGAGATTCTAGAGTGTTTAAAGTGCTACATACTCAGATTCTGTTGAGGAAATTGAAACATTTTGTTGTTTTCTGCTACCCCACAAAATAGTACAGCCGAAAAACTTGAATATTAAACCTGTTATGAATTTCCTATCTGTAGCATATCCTCCCCAATCAGAATCAACATATCCTAAAATATTAGTAGCATCAATTTTAAACACCAACTTAAAATCTAATGTCTCTTTAACATAACGTAAAACCCTTTTCAGAGCTTTATATAAGTTATCATTTGCTCTGTCCTGAAACCTACTAGACAAATTCACACTTTGACACAATTCTGGTCTCGTTCCAGACACTTTTCAGCACAAATAAGACCAAATTCTGATCCATCGGAGTACTCATTGGATTAGAGTCAAACATACCATATTTTTCTAAAATGTTCTTGAGATAAGCACACTGATCTAGTTCTAAATAACCTTCTTTTCTGTTATGATTAACTCTTATTCCTATATAATTTGAGACTATGCCAAGATCTTTCAATGCAAAATTACTGTGCAAAACAGCTTTTGATTTTTCGACCTGTGTTTTATCTGTCCGCAAGATCAGAACATCGTCCACGTATAGTAAAACAAACAGTCTGTTTTGTCCAGTAGTTTTAGTGATAAAATATCAAATTTTCTATTCCAATATTTTTGAGATTTTTTCAGACCATAAATGGATTTGTCCAATTTGCATACCTACTGTATCTGAATTGAATATAGTTTCACCTGGTAGTATGACATATAAATTTCGTCAGTGATTTCACCATGCAAGAAGGCACCTTGAACATCCATTTGATAAACTTGCACCCTCAACTTTAAAGCTACAACTAATAAAATTCTGAAAGTGCACAATTTTGGCAACAGGCGCGTGAATATCATATAGGTACTATCCATTATTTGTGGGAAGCCATAAGCAACAAGTCTTGCTTTAAACTGACCATTAGATTTAACTTCAAATACCCAATAACTTTTTTATCATCTGGCCAGACTAATTCAGTCCATGTATTATTTCTCAGGAGTACCTCCATCTCTTCCTCAATAGCTTCTTTCCATTTTTGAAATACTTGTCTCCATGAACAGCTTCCTCATAAGGAATTGGTTCTTTATTCTGTGTAAAGAAACTGGCATTTGTTTCATAATAATCTTGCAACCAGATTGGCTTTTCAATTATTCTTCCTCTTCTGTTTAATACTGTGTTTTCCAACGCATTTTCAGTACCTACTAGAGTTATTTAAAGTTTCACACAGTTTACCTGAATCGGAGCTGGGGGCTGGCCTATATTGTTCTTTTGATTCTACTATTGTCTGGTCACATTTGATGTATTACCATCTGGAACTTCACCGTTTTGCTTTGAAACGTCCAAAATAATCTCCCTGTCATCATTGTTCTCCTCTATGTCTAGATTCACTATACTTTTTATGACTAACTTATCTTCTTTATCTGGAGAAACTTGAGGTAAATCTATTAAATCTCGATGTATCTTTTCCCGTCCCTGCAGATGTGGAAAGTACACCCTATAGCCTTTTGTTTCACCGCTCTAGCCAACCAATACTTCAGTTTTACTTTTTGGGTCAAGCTTCAACCTCTTTTCTTTGGGGACAGCTACTGAATCACCAAATACTTTCAACAATTATATGTCAAAGGCTCTTTTGAACCATAGCTCATAGGGAGACTTTTGAGTGTTACGGACTTCAGCTACTTGGTTTAGAATAAAAGCGACTGTATTAATAGCTTCTGCCCAATACTTTTTTTCTAAATTTTTGGCATGTAGCATGGTCCTCGCTGCTTCCACCAAAGTCCTCGTTTCCCTTTCAGCTCTGCCATTTTGTTGGGGAGTGTAAGCACAGGACCTCTCGTATCTAGACAATAAACCTTCCAGCTGGTTATTTACAAACTCTACCCTATTGTCAGTCCTTAGGGCCATCATCTTGTTCCCTGTTTGTGTTTCCATGTACTTCAAAAAAGAAGCAATCTTATTTTTAGTTTCGGACTTGTGCCTTAAAAAATAAATAACCCTGAAGTTTGGAAAGCCATCTTTCAATAGAAGAAAATATTTGGCCTTGCCTATAGATTCTACCTCAAAAGGTCCTCAGAGATCTGCATGCACCAGCTGACCTATTTTCTGAGTGCTAGAACCGCTGGTGCTGAAGGACTCTCTATGCTGTTTACCCTTTAAACAATTTACACAGAAAACATTATCTTTGGATACTGAAATATCATGCTTTTCAAGTATTTTTCTAACAGACTCAAAATTTATGTGAGCCATCCTAATATGCCAATCTAGCATACATTACAATGAGCAATAGTCTGATTTACATATCTGAACTTTATTTTGAAAAACTTACAGTTTTTCTGCAATTGCTAGCACCACTCCCTCCTGATCAACTATTTCAGTTATATTCTTCTCTGACCTAAGCTTGTAGCCTCTATCTAATGCTTCTCCCACTGAAAATAGGTTAACTTTGAAGTCTGCATAATCGTAGTTTGAAACTTCCACGTAGCCCAGTTCTCACCATTGAACAGGTATTAACACGAATTCCAAACCGCCAATAAATAAATAGGTATCAAACCAAAAAATCCTGCTAAGAATTTTTAGATTATAGATGTATTTCTATCAGAATGATTACTCCTACGAGTCTGGGCCCGTAACCCGATGAACTTGCAGTGGGTGTGTAGTCAATAAAATAC